ATATAAATGTTTATTTTTCATCATTTAGATTATATACCAACCATCATCTGGAATAAAAGTGCAAACTTGGATAAATAGACTTTTTAATTTTCTATTTTTGAAGAGATACAGGTCTGAGGAGGGTAAAGAGGGGAGGGGTTAGGGGGAGTAAAGGAGGGGAGGAAGTGGGGTTTAGGGGGAGTAAAGGAGGGGAGGAAGTGGGGTTTAGGGGGTAAGGGTGTGGGGGGTTGGTCTGAGGGGATGGTTGAGAGAGGAAGGATGACAGAGGAGATTAGGAGGAGTTCTGGTGTTTAAATAGAGAACTGGGGAACATCTTCATCCTTTCCTTCTTCTCTTCTTCAGTTCTTCTCTCTCCTTATTCTCCTTTTTGACCTTCAGCTCATACTCATCGGTCTTCAAGACGTGTTCCTGAGAAGACAGAGCAACATAAGTTTCATAATTTTCTTCTTCAGAGTCTAAACATAAAACAAACCTATACAATCCATATAATTCAAATCAGAAATGATCTGATGTAATGTACCTGACGCTCAGTGTTCTGCTGGATCAGGAGTTTTACTTCTTCCTCCATCTTTCTCTCGTTTTCCACTGACTGCTCCTGCTCAGCAGACCACTTCTCCTCTGTCTCCTTGATTCCTTGATCATGATCATGTTGACCAAGTCTTCTCTGGCCTGACACAGCTGTGAGGCAGTAGAGCCCATCGGCTCCACCACCTTTCTTTCATTATCCCAGCTGAGTTTCTTGTTGGCGATGTGACTCTTCAGAGCGTCATTCTCTGCAGCCAGCTCCTTGTTCTCCCTCTTTGAGTCTTTGCGCCCGGCGGAGGGCCTGCAGCATTTTGCTGATGCTGCACCCGTTGTGTTGGGTAGCATCAGGCTGCATTTGTCCGAATGACTTAAAGACACAAATACACACAACAGGTAAAAACACAGAGATGAGTAGTTTAAGGTTACATCTCTTTTACATGCATTTCAAAGGTATGACAAATTGAACTCAAAACTGCAGTAAGTTGTCTGACTGTGGCTAACATTTGGTCAGCTGGTGTCGCGACCTAGCAATATTTGAACTTAACTTATGCTGAAACAAATGTGTGAATAATTAAGTTGATGCATTATTTAACCCTTTCTATTGGTCAACCCTCATATGTTTTCAATTTCTACTGTTGCTCTTCCAGCAGGAAAAGAAATTGATGTTTCAAGAGACACAGACTGACATCAGTCTGCTTTATGGCAGTGATGTCCTTTCTCCCCTCCTCTCGTCTCTTCCTTCCTTCCTCCCCTCCTCTCGTCTCTTCCTTCCTTCCTCTCGTCTCCTCTCACATTCTCCTCTAGTCTCCTCTCCTCTCATCTCTTCCATCCTCTCCTCTTGTCGCCTCTCTCCTCCCTCTGTCCTTCTCTCCTCCCTCTTTTCCTCTCTTCCCTCCTCTCCCCTCTCGCCCCCCCCTGCTCTCCTCCCTCCTCTCCCCTTCCCTCCTCTCCCCTCCCTCCTCTCGCCGCACTGATGCTGATATTTCAGTGCAGCCTCACCAGTGGAGAGGAGGAGGAGGTGGAGGAGGTGGTCGTTGTGTCAGGTGGAAACACAGACCTCTATGGATCATCACCTCCGTCCAGCACCGGCTCACATCCTCGGCAGCACCGACAGTGTCTCCCGGCCGGCGGTCACAGCTGCAGGGACGCAGCGCCCCTTCATCCGCCGACACTTTGCGTTTCCCCGGTACAGACTCCCCGGACCTGTCCTGTAGACACCCAGACGAAGGAGGTCTAATAGAGGAGAAATAAAAAGCTCCTCCATTGACAAACCGCTGTCCTGCTCCTCATCGATTCAGCCCATCTTGGTAGAGGAGGACAAAACCACCCCCCCCAGGAAGCTGCCACAGAAGCCGAAGGTAAGGCCGATAGATGGAGGACAGGATGCCTCCTCTCTCCGTTTCGCTCAGTCGTCCCCTGCAGGAGAGCGAGGAGGAGGTGCGCGGTGTTTTGTTGCGGGGACGCCGGCCTGCATTTGGGTGCAGGGTACCGCAGTGATCCGGCGGAGGGACGCGCCGCTTCACGCATTATTTCACCGACATGCGTTACGCGATGCACGCGTGGAGACGTGTTTGCGGTGTCTGCCGGAGCTCGTTGTCTCATTTGAACAGATAAATGGGTGCAGATGCAGAGGCCTAGTGCTGGGGCTGCAGGAGAGGACGCATGTTACCGGCTTTAACTTTCATTTCACTGAGGGGCTTGTTGGTGTCAGTCTGTTCTAAATGTGCTGCAAACAAACACAACTTTCCCCAAATCTTTGCAGCAATGCTTTATATACTGAACCCCTGCAGGAAGTTAAACTCTGTCTGTGACCTCAGATCAGATTTAGATTTAGCTCCTCTGTTGGGGG